AGGGGCGCCCCCTGCCTCTGAATCAGCAAGAATACGATCCTAGCACTGATCCCTGGTGCGCCGACAATCACTGACCGCGCGGCTGCTGATTCTGAGCCACCTGCAGCGCTTGATCCGTTGATGAGTTACATGCCATGAACCATCCAAGACACCGCAGCCTCTCTTTCCACTTCCATGACTTTCTCCTAGTATGTATTTTCATCGTTAGCCCTCATCTTCGGACACTTGCCATTCCCAAGGAGGCCTCCGAGAGAGAACAAACCAGTTTCACCATGCACAACGAAAAAACAGTTTGTGCCTTCAGCGGATGACCTCGCTCATCAACATTGGTCATGCTTTGATCCAGCCAGTTATGTTTATTGACATTTTCAGCGACATTCTCACTGTGCATTTGCATGACTCAGCTCTTTTCGATGTGTTTCTTGTCTTTATGCCTGATGTATGACTGAACCATGAATGTTTGACTTTTGTCAATTGCTCTGATTCTACACTGACCGACACCCTTTTACCTTACTTGACCCTTCCCTCCCTCCGCCCCTTTAGCTTGCTCAAGCCTACAACCCGTGATCCTTGCCTCAACGTTCCAGTTGCCACCTTCGAAGAGCCATCATGGACGCACGCTGGCAGCAATATTACTGGAACCATTATTTGCACCAACAGCAGCAACATCAGCAGCTTACCAACCAGGACACCACAGTTTCTCCTCCCACTGCAACTCACCACACATACAACCCTACTGGCACTTATGGCCCACTCACTCAGCCCACCACTCTCACCCATACACGACATCACCATACACACCGCCACCGCAGCACACACCGCCACAGCAGGCTCCACCGTCGCAGCCGGAGTTCCCACCTCCACCGCCACCACCACTGCCCACAGCCGACCCAGTCACTCCACCGCCATCGAGCTACAAGCGCAGCCCGCCACCGCCACCAGCTGCCCGCGCCGGCACTACACCTGCCCCACCGCCACCTCACATCCCTTCTCCCACTCCACCAATCCACGACTCTTGGAACCAAACCGAACACCATTGGGATTCCAACACCCTCCACGGCCACCAGCTCTACCGCACAATCCAACCCACACAATGGTCTCGAAAAGCAGGGGTGGCAGGGCTTCCAACCTTTGACATCTTCCCGTGGCAATTGGCGTACCATGGTACGGCCGAATTCACAGCCCGCACTCTTAGCAACGGAAAATTCACTGGTTTTATTGCCACCAGAAGCATTGCGGAGTCTGTTTTCGTTACCCACCTACTCCAAGAGCTCCGCGAGAAACGCTTCGACTTGGACGGCATCGCCGAGACCCTCCACACAAAACAAGGAACCGACATCCCCAGCAAGACAACCCAGGCCCGGGCTTTCCACGCCCCCCTCATCAACCTACTCATCCAACAACTCCAATCCCACTCTCCGGCACCAGCAGAGGGCTTAAGAACACTACCGATGAGCTGGCCCGCGCAAAACAGAAGCTCCACAACTTGGGCGAACCCCTCACTCCAGTGAAGAGCACCAGCCACACTTCAGGACCGGCCGCCCCCTCACATCCACCCACTCCACCAGCGCCCAAACCACCGGCCCTTGCTGACGTCCTGCAACCTCCACACCCCACTCTGCAGGACGATATCCCAGACAGCTGGAACTACACCGACATCCAACACTGGGTCACCACCTTCGATCCCACTGTCCAAGAAGCAGCCAATGAAGTTTGGCGATTGCTGCAAACAAGCAAAGTCACTACCCAGCAATTGAAAGACGCAGCCGCACGTTACGGCCTCCCACTCAACCGGGTCAATCGCCTCCCCATACGGAGCTTGCAACAGCTTGTGAGTGTGGGGGCAGCTATCGGCTGCTGACTCGCTGTACTCAGCCAGCAGCAACCCAGCCACACCACCCTACAACACCTGTTCCACTTACACAGAGCACTTTCCATTTTGATCCACCACACCCAATACATCGACCGCGCCGAAGCCATCTTTGCCACTGGTCTTATCCACATCACACTCCTTTTCGCATATCCTTCCAACACCCGTCGCTCACAACAGTGGCGCAACCGTTTCCGCCAGCTCCACATCCTACCCCACACATACCATTACCACAACTTCCTCTCCTCCAATTCGGTTTACATCAAGCTCCACTTCAACCCTGACCCACCCCAACGCTGCTACCACCAACATGGCCACTTCTATGTCGACTCCACCGCCATTGGCATCCCCCACCGCGAGCACAACCGCCGTGCCAAACTCAAACAACTCCAGAACAACATCCCAATTTCAGCAGAACTTCCCCTACGTTACTGGCATTCACATAACAACATCCACCACTACACCACCATCCAACTTACATCCCACGACACCTATGACCAAGCTTGGATCCAGGAACACCACTACATCGCCAACTGGATGCCTACACTCAACTGGCCCTTCATTTCCCACCACCTCAAACTTAAAGCTCAAGGTTGGCAATTCACCAAGCACAGAGCCCATTTCTACTCCAGATTGGCCACCCACAAACGTCTCTTTCGACGCCTACGGCAACGCCAACACACCCTCAGAGTACACCTCCACTAACCATCACGCTCTTACCCTTCTCCGCAACCTTACCAAACACACAGCAGCCTCCTTTGAAGCAGCCAAAGCACTACGAAGCGGCCGCCACACCGATCTTGAAGTCTACGCCATCCGGCGCATGGCCGCCAATCTCGAAGAACCCGGCCGCAGCAGAGCTCTCCACATCATCAACAAAGCCCTCCTCTACCGCAACCTCACACCACCAAAACCGAACATCCCACTGACAGTGCCATTCCTGGCCCACCATCCCCCTCCACCTCCCCTCGCACCGCCTACGTGAAGCCGCACACAAAACCCTGCGGTCCCAACTGCATAATCACCGCACATGGGAGGACACCCTCGCTTCCCCACCAGATCCAGCAGACCTCCCCTGTGCATGCAATCATCTTCGAACTCTACTGCAGGATCCTGACACACCCACCACCAACGGCCACTACATTCTCACACTTGATCAGCTTCACCTCCCCACACACCTCAGCATCTTTCTCAACGCCAACATGAACAGCACATACTATCCAAGCAAGGCCCGCTACTTCCTCACTTTCCAGACGGCCTACACGAAATGGCTCAAGCTACAAGGGCTACCACCATCCCTCGTACAACACTTGCCGCCATTCCTCGAACACCAATGGCGCCTCCGCAACATGCACCTCAAACAACAACCCCGGTTTACGGCTCGCCTGCTTCGCCAACTCCAAGAATATCTAGGCCAAAATACAGTGCTTCACCATGCCGACCATGAACTCCAACAGCTCCGACTGTTCTGTCCCCGCCAATATTTCACTGGCGCTTTGAATACATGGCAATCCCCTGAACTTTTTGAACCACTTCCTCACCTCACAGCCGCCAACATCCACGACCACCTCGCAGCCACTGTTCCCCCCATTTTACGCACCCGCTACAAATGGGGCTTCCGCAAAGATTTCAACATCCCCTACGGTGTCGTCCACCTCAAGGAGAAAAAACAGTGGCAAAAAGGCCGCGCCATCATCTCATACTTCCAGTCACTCAGTGGCAACCTACTCCGCATCACTAGCCGTGCCCTTGACATCATCCTTCAACACCTTTACCCCCAGCATCCAGGACACATGTCCATTCCACAACTTTGGCGCCACTTCCACAGCTACCTCACCCAAACCCCAGCAGACATCTCCCTGTACGCCACCAACGATGACCTGGTTGGCTTCTTCAACTCGGTCCCACAGCACCGACTCATTTCATTGATGCAGTTCACTCTCTTATCCACCACTGGCAACAACAGCAATCCACACACACCCTCAGAGTGGATGTCCAAGCCACAGGCAACCCCTTCCACCACTCTCACATTGGCAGACACCATCGCAAACACCCTACACAACGCACCATCCAGACATCCGACATCACCACCATAGTGGCCTTTGCACTCAACACTTGTATTTTCCGGGCTTGCAACAACACCTACAAGCAAATCCGAGGAGCTGGGATTGGCTCCCAACTCTCTCCAGCCCTATGCAATGTAGCTATCACACTCATCGAACACTCCTGGCATCAGACCCACAACAACTTACTCCAACACACTGACCTACATTTCACCTACCATCGATATGTGGACAACCGCTTCATTGTACACAACGAACATTTCCTCCACCATCCCGCCATCCAAACCCTCATCCACCACAACTTCTTCGGCGACCCGGTGGAACTCGAACCTGTGGACGGCTTCCATCTCCTGGGTTTCAACATTGACCTCCCCCAACGCACCATCACCTACATGCAACCTTCCCAACCCTGGAAAATCAGGGATTCCACCACAGCCGGGAGCCAGCGCTTGGCTCTGTCAGGCCTCCAATCCAGACTTCACACCATTAGAAAATACACATTTCCACCCTCTAGCGCTGAAGCTGCTGCCGCTGAGCTAGTGAAGCTCTATGTCCAAAAAGGACACAACCACCACGCCTGCCACCGATTTTTGAAAAAAGCGCCGAATCCGGCGATCTGTGTGTGTCCACCCCTGGACAAAGGGTCTCTTCCAACCAATTCACTCACCACTTGTTTCACCGCAGATTCCCAAGCAGGGGAGTGGAGCAGGCCTGCAGAGCTCCACTTAACAAAGCTCTCTGCAGTGCCCTGAGGATATCGGCCAGGACGCTGGCCGACGTACCTGCTCGTTCTCAAGCTGTGACTCCACTTTTCCACTTTTTGATTCATGGTGGTTGCGTGTTTCATCCCACAAACAGGTGTTTCCACCGCATTTCTCAGCTGAACGTGAGCCGCCGACCGCAGACTTGCACATTTGGAAACCATGTTCAACCATACTGTTTCCGCTGACCTTTTCACCTTGCGGTTCTTCGCCATTTTCCCAACGTGGTAACTGAGTCACTGAAAACCAATGTCAGAGTGTGAAACCCTTGGTTTCAGAGGGAACCTGTAGTCTCCAATTTGGCAGGGGCACTGAGCACTCCTTGGCGAACTCAGTGCATATGAAGCTATGCCTTGGAGTGGAAGCACGGATTGATCACCCGTGTGTACTTGCCGTGATCACCGCTTTTTCCTTCTGAGCCCCTTTGTCACTAGAACAAGTCAGTGGCCATTGCATCGGCTTGAACTCTGCAGACACGCATTTGTCGTTTCCGTTGGAACTCTTGACATCGGACTTGGAAACCTTTGACACTTTGAAGATGTTCAGACCACCTTACTTACACCTGTCCTGGTTTTCTCAGGTTTACTTAGGCTGGTGCGTGGCAAACCGCAAATCAGTACCGTACGAGTTTTCCCGAGTGTGTGTTTGATCCGCCATAAATAGCTCATGGCTTTTCAGGAAGGGAAAGAAGATAAATCCTGGCTACACTTGCATTGGCCGTTTGCGGGGCCTTGCGGAGCTTCGGGGTCTTCAGCTTGGAATTGCATCAGCTGGCATGGTGAAGGACGAATGACAAGCTCGCTCCAACACCTTTTTTCAAACGCGTTTTTTTTCATGGTTTTGCATTTTTGAATGTGTATTATACTTGCAGATTTTGAAGACTTTGACATACTTTGACCCATTTTGTATTTTTAGGAGCCAGGTTCAAAAAAAACAAAGAACCGAGTGAGATGGGCCTCGGGTCACGAAGAAATCACTGTTCTTGCAATTCTGTGTCTGTATTCTTTTAACATCACGCAAATTCGCGCATGTCCGGCCAAGCCGAAGAATGTGGTTTTGGCACAGACTCTTTTGACTCTTTTGCATAGACTGACCGAGTTTGCACGAAAAAAACTTGTTCAGGGCAGGAGGTGCGGTTGCAGTCTACAAGTTGCCAAAATTGCACTCTGTTAGGTGGGAACAAAATGACTATAGAGAGATGATAGAAGATAATAAGACATTGCCTTCTACCCCCAAGGCTTGTCAGCTCAGCAAATAATGTCCAATTTAGAATTTGACAGCAAATAATTTGTCAACGGTGAGACATACAGGTTTAATTACAATTGCTGCTGTTTGGCCACAGCACACAGCAACAGTCAAGCAAGATGCACTGCAGTGCAGACTTCCACAGACAGAGTCGCTAGCCATCTGACAAAGGTAGAGGCGCTGTGGGATTGCTTGCGTGGCCATGTAATCTTGATCCACTTGTTCATTATCAGGGCCGAAGAACACTTAGATCCATCGATCAAAAGACACGAGCATTTGTCCTGTTTTCCGATCAGCACCTTTTTGCAGCCCTCAAAGCCACCAGAGCCGCTTGTGGGGCAACCAGCGCAACTTGTCCTGAAAGGTACTCACAGAATTGAAGGGTTCAGGATCTTGCAGGAAGGTAGTTATAGGTAAAGTTGGTATTACATGCAACCTCAAAAGCATTTTTTGACTTACTTTTAGGCAGGCAAGATAGCAAGCTTGACAAAGAACTAAACAAAAATTGGACTTGACCTTCAACGGCTCTCAGGTTCTGGCCATGAGCATCCGCCAGACAGAATTCATGCAGTTGCTGCCTCGCTCTGAAATAGTGCCCTGGACTTCAAGCTTCCAAATCTTCCAAGCAATTGTTGGACTTCCAAGCAATTGCTTGGTAGGCTTGGATTTCGGAAAGTCGCACCTGAGGAGCTGGGTGGCTGGAAAATGCTGGACACTGGGGAGTGCGGGCCTTAAGAGACGCCAGCAGTTGTGAGCCATGAAGGGCAATTCGTTGAAATGTCCTCCTAAGATTAAGAGCACTTCGTAATTGCCGCATCAACCTGGAGGCGTTGGCACTACGTCTTTGTCTTCCCAATGGAGACAGCAGATCCAAAAGATGCAGAATACTGGGATTCGCTAATGCCCAATCCCTTCGACACCTGGGACAGGACCTGTCGATAGGACAAAAGAATTGAACAGCTGGGGCTGGGACTTTAGACCGAATTTGTTGCATTTCCTGTTTGGATTCTGCCAAAGAACATCCTTCTTTCCACGACGCCGTCCTCGCTGCTTTGTTGCAGGATTTTTACGCACCAGTACGACACTGCACCACCTGACTTGCTAAGCGGCTCCATGACAAGGACGCTAAACATTCCGAGTTGGCTCCCAACCTCCTTCCAAAGCATGTTTGTTTGGTGCATATGACTTCCTCATTAGGGACAGCCAGTCAAGGGTATTCAGAATCTTCGTCTCTTCAATCAAAGAATATCCGAGGCAGATGAGGCTACCCAAAATCATGTATGTGCTTGCTTTGCCATGTTCCAGCGATGACAGTTTCGGGATGGCACTTGCTTTTGCCACAGCGCAGATAAAGGGAGATGGTAGCACAGGGTACTAGTAATATTCAATCGTGCCGAATTCTCTCTCGCTCTCTCTACTTTTGAGATCATAATATATCATAACTATATAACCCTTGAAGCAATATGCCTTTCCAAAGGGAGAAGCATTGGTTCAACAGGCACGAAAATTGTCGGAGCAGGCGGAAAAGCCTGTGTTCTGATAGTGCAACCTGAACAGGATTTTCCCTTTGATGTGTACTAGACTAGAACAGCAGGTTGGCCTTTTGAGCCTGAGGCCTAAGGGACAACTTTCATGACTTTGTTCGACTTATGTAGTTGCTTCAAGTGATTTTGCTAAAGGAGAGAATTTCACAGAGCGGCACCTCCAGCTGCACAGAGTTGAGTTGGGCAATTGTCGCTGCAGATTCCAATTGCTTTTGGTTTGACAAATCTTTCCGAAGTCATGCTGGAGCTTGACATATTTCTTGGCTATCACCGGACTGCGCTGAGCAGTATATAAAGAAGCGGGAAAAGCGTGATCCTCATGACCATTCAACAAACATTTCAAGGTTCGGAAGCAGCTGGCAACGTGGCTGCAGTCCATGTTGAAGTGTCTATGAGATTCAATGACCGGCTAACGAGCCAGGCTCTGTTGCTTGCAGTCAATAAGACACCATGAGCTCAGGTTGATCTCTTCACTGGTCCGATTTGTGGTTTTAGATACCATGAGTTCAAGCATCTCGACTGGAAATAAGTGCAGCAGGGCCAACAATCTCCTTCTACATAGGGTCTTAAAGAGTTATTCTTTTGAAGGTTCGTGCCTGTAGTTGTTTGAAAGCCTTTCTCCATAAACACCCTCGCATAAATTCCATCATTTGTACTGACTCACAGGAGCATTGATGGAGATGAGCTGTTTCTCCTCATTGCAGTGGACAATTTGGAGGCGCAACCTTGTCATCATCACTTGCAAGTGCAGTGTTTGCCAAAAGAGCCGTTGTGTGTGGCTTGCCGTGAAGATATTTGCACTCAGGTCATAAACGAAATTGGGAAAGAGGAGGAGTTCCCTGCAACTAGGATGATCGAAGCAATTTTGGATAGCACAGTGCAAATTGTTATTTGAAGGATCCCTCTGATTTTGTTAATCGATTTGTACATTTGTGAAGTTAGACGTCAGACTTCTTGAGGCCATGCTGGAAAAGTTTGCTTACAGCAAGTATAAGTGTCCGACAGATTGGGCTGAAGGTGCGGCAAGCTTTGAATTGAAGAGCATCCTGCCACAAATCTCGAACTTGAAAGCTTAGGTGCGGGTGTTTTTCTTGAACATACTTACGGCGTGACTGGGCGGCAAGCATGCATTTTCTTAGATAGTCGGTGCCGTGAATCTGGCGGAGGCACAGAAGGTCAGCACTTCTGTTTGTTTACTTGTGGTTTATGGCGCCGTTGCCGCCCACGCGAGCGATGCTTTCTTATCTTCTGTGACTCCCCATGAACCAATGTCATGGCTTTGAGTTCTGAGCACCAACAGCAAGGGCGTCGCTTCATGCTGCTTCGGACACAATGTTCTTCAACACATTGGCGGGGGCGGCGGCAGGGTGGGGGCCGTTAATCCAAGTGCGAGTTAACCCAGAGCGTCGCTTGTCGCTTCATGTTGCTTTGGACAGGTCCCGTGCCCACAAGCGTCCGGAGGATTTACGTGGTTTTGGCTTTTCGTGGTCGTGTAGCAGTTTGCTTCGGGGGGGCGAGTGGCGACGTTGGTTGTGATTGCAAACTGAATGATGCTAATTTTGTGGAACTTGCATGGGCATGATGTTGCTTCGTGTAAGAATTTGCTTCTGGAAGGTGGAAGGGACAAAGTGTTGACGCTGCAGGATAAGAACAGATGATAGATTCCATGTGGAAATGCCTAGAAAAGCTCAATAATGAGCCTGAACACGCCTGTGGGGAAAGCCTGGAGTGCTTCCTCCCGAGTCGTTCAAAAATTGCCGGTCGCGGAACCACTCGAAAAGCATGACTCTTGGTCCACTAAAGCCTTCAAACACTGTGAGGGTCACCAAAACTGAAGGGATCACCATACCTGCCCACACGGACGGCGAGAGTGCCGTGATTCTTGCTTGTTCGTTCGTTTGGGCACAAGCAAGAAGCCCAGGAACACATTGATGGCACTCCACATACAAATCTTTACCCTGGCTATGTGGCTGCGCAGCATTGGTGTTTTGAGCAACATTTAGCCACGTAGGGAGGGCATTTATGCAGAGAGGAGCCGACTGAGTTTCGCAAGGTTCGGTTTTCGGAGCACAACCAGAATCTACTTGCACCATGGAACCAAGAGGAGCTCATCAGGTTGATGCGAAGGCCCCCCAGAGCATGATGCATTGACGAAGCATTTTGAAGTTGTGGTGATACTTGGGGGTATGATGTATAGGGCCAGTTAGTGTCTCAAGCATGTGGAAAGAGTCTGCCATCAACACACTGGTTACTGGAAACATGAGAAACATGAGATGCATTTGAAGTGGCGTTTGGCCTGTTTTGTCTGGATCAGGCGCATGAGGAAATTCTTGCGCCTCCAAAGCTTGATTTCAGCAACTTGGACCTTCCTTCCTCAGAACATCATCAGTCTTATCATTTCTCTTTGACCATCTCAAAAAGTCTTACAAAGGTATACAAAGGTGCCTTTCAGCTCAGTTTTGTTAGTTTGATGTACGGGCTCGTTGTTATTGTCGCTCTTTGTAGATTCGTACGAAACAAACCTATGGCCCATGTGACCACGTGTTTAGAAAAAGAAGCTTATAATTTAATTATAGCTCTCCTGCATCAACTCCCCTGCAGCGCACCTTTGGTGAAGCTGGTTGAAGGAAGACATTGTCAAGCAGATCTTCTGTGCTCATCACTGGAAGGACTCGTTGTGCACAGATTTCGACGTGTGTCATTCAGTTCAAACAAACAGATGCTCAATTTGACCCTGTGGCATGATGTGGAGTTCACTGCAGGATCTTTCCGCCTTCCGCAACAAGAAACACTGGAACGTGCCCTGGAAATCTTGTGGATGTTTTGCTCGAATCCATGCATTGCGCATGTAACCATGTATATACACATGTAATGTAACCATTGTCCCAATTCCCTACAGGACATACATGTCGCCCGGTGATGTGAGGATCCTTGTCATTTGCTGCAGTGGCCAACCGAAGAACTTCCAGACTGCTCCCCACTCGCAATTACTTGGTCGGTGTCATGAGAACAAGTACAAGTTGGCACTGACACTGCTGTGCATGAGGGTGGGTGACATGATGCGTTTCTAGTGAGGGCCAATGGCAGGCATTTACTGTATTTTATCGTTTTGCATGGATCTAAGAGAACCTCTGGGGAGTCAGGGCGAAGTTGGCTCGCATGTGTTCGCCTTGAATTGACGAGTGGTAGTCGAATGTAACACACACATGTATATATATATATATTTATAGCTTTATTCTGAGCTGCGCAGACAGAGTCCAGTATGTGCTGCCAACGCCATATTTTCAGCCACTGAGCTGAGGTATTCAGGTCTACTTTGGACCTGACATTGCCTTTTTTTTTTCATTGGTTCAATGCGTACACGTGCCGTAGTTGCAGACAACAAATTGAGCATGGCTGTGAAGATGAAGCTCTAATGCAGTCTTCAAAAGCACTGTTTCAAGGAACTTGCCCACAGATCTGAGGCGTTGGCTTTTGTTCCCTGCAGTTCTTTGCATTCCGATTTGGTTGGAAGAGCAGCTTGCACTGAGGCGCAGCTTTTCTCAGCACACTTTCAGGTCACACATCTGCACAGCTTGACTTCATTGACCATTTCAGAAAGCACCTACACAGTAGTAACTCAGTAGTACACCCAAGCACAACATGCTCAGTTTTTGCTCATGTTGGTGTTGTTTCTACATTTGTCTAAACATGTGTTCAATTTTAAGCCGATTCTACCAGGTTGTTGGTATATACTGGGGCCCATTCTTTCAGGCCTTTCAGTGGCCCGTCAAACCTTTCAAGGAAGGGAACGTGTTTTTTTCTTTACTTTTTTAAAGGGGGGTAGGCCAGTAGAAGAGAGAGGTAGTAGCTAGGTAGGTAGCTAGTAGAAGGTAGGTAGCTAGTAGAAGCTAGGTAGCTAGTACTTACAAGTGAGCTACTAGATATGGACGGAGGATAGCTCACGCTTCCTTGAAGAAGCGCTCGCACTATTCACTTGGAAACTTAACTGTTGCTTCGTGCCTTTTGCATGCAGGGATGGCACGGATGCTTCGCAGCACTTTCAACAGGGGCTGACCGTCCGTTGTTTTGAGTCGAATTGATCCCCCAACATAACGCTCCCATAGTATTAAACATACAACACTGTAATGTCATCAGTATCACAACATAGGCATCGGTTGCAGAACATTGCCATCAGCCATCAGTTTCACAACATTATCATCATCGGTATCATATTTACCCAATGTATTGTAGATAGTAGATGGTGACAGCTGAAAACAATCTGGACATTTTAGGTGAGCTTTCCTTGAATTCATTTGGTGGCCAGCCTGGACTTGCAGCTCTAAATGTCCACCAGGTCCTAGAGTCACCAAGCAGTTTCCACACGATGATCACAATGAACACAACTGCTACAAAGACCAAATTAAATCAACACAGAGAGTCCTTGGCATCCGCAGATTGCCTCGATTAGCTGACAAGATTTTGCTTCCATCCTGAAGAAGATTCTTTGTGTGTTGTTGTGTTGAAGGTGATTGATATAGTCACATCATCACTTCTGTCAATTATATAGGGTTGAAGCTTCAACATCACTTTCTTCTCTGTGAATCTTGGTCTAAGGAAGAAGAAAAATGGTGGTTGCAACTTGTGCTGATGTATTCGAGCGGGCTGTTTGCGTTTATACATATACACAGTACATTGATGTACATTGTTTACATGGATCGTTGACATGTATCAAATTGGCTGATGGAATCCATGTTAGAAGAGTGAGCCCTTGACTTGGCTTCCTAGAGATCCTAAAGGCGGATCAGCATGATAAGGTTTGTGCGATTACAGATAACATGGCATTTGGTCAATGCAAGCCCAGCCTGGTCGGTCTGACTCGTATCAACAAGACAATATATATTTATATTTGTGAAAAATCATGAATAATCAGAATAATCAGTCTTCCCTTTCCTTTGGTTTCACACTGCAGTTTGGACGCGAGTTTGCTTCTTTGTCCACCGCTGGCCTCATGTCCCCAACCAAGGTACGTGTCTTTTTCAGTCGTTTTGGGCCTATGGTCTACGGCTTTCCTCTCAAGGTGCTGCTCAACTTTGGGAACACCTACTGCTCTCGGTGTTGAATTTGCTTCTCTCAGTGGGATGCCATTGTTACGAATTGGCCTAAGGCCTAAGCAGTGAGGCTACCTTTGTGAACTTATGCATTTGTCTTCTTAAGTGTCAGGTACAAGCACAACAAGAACCTGAAGGCGCGCACGCACACATTGCAAGCAACAAAGAGTCAACAATTTGCGAGAGCAAAGGTAAGCATGCCTTGCTGACATGGCATTTTTTTTCAGGACCGTGTTTGTCCCTGCAGGTTCTGAAGTGGGGCATGCAGAAATATGATGAAGATGTCGCAGAGATACGGAGGCTGACTGACTTCCTTCACAAGAAGTTCAGAAGACAAGTCTTTCACAAAAGGCATGTGACGGGATTTCAGTTTACACTGCAGGAACTTCAGCGACGAGTATCGAGACACATGGGCAGAGATCTTTCAGAACCTCTTCCACTGGACAGATGACTCAGTTGACCGAATGCTTTGCCTGAAAGAGTCACCGGAAAGAATAGCACAATCCAATTATGATCCAAATCCAACGCCAGGCACAAGACTAAACTTAAACTACTTAAAACTCGCGTGCCTTTCCAAGACTATCCATCAACTGCCCTTCTTCTCCCCACCTTGCTGACAACCAACGAGTCTTACAGCGTCATGTTTTGCGTGGGAGGATACTTTGTATTCTCTTCATGCTGGAGACTGTGCTGGTAACATTCTTCGCAACATGCTTAAGGTCTTTATTCCCCTGAGTTTGATCTTGAACAAATGACCTTGCTTGGTCCAATTGGTGTTCAATCTTGCCCAAGGTGAGCTGGTGGCGGAGAGAAGCAACAAGAGAACCCTTTGGGAAATCCTTTGGTGTAGAGCGACTAGACTGCAGATGAACAGTGACTGAATGTCCAGTGTGGAAGCAAGCAAAGCGAGGCACAAACATGTTCATACACTTGGTAAGTTGCTTGGATGCAGTGGTCGTGCAGGTTTGAGAACTATTTTCTCTGACACATAATTGACAGGGGATGCTGCTGTCAGCCACCACCAGGACTTTGCTCACAGTGAACATCAAGCTCATTGACTGGATTTGGACGACCGTGTCCACAAGACTCTCCAACATGGAGAACTGGAGGATTTCGATTGTTGGATCTAGGCACCTCTTAAGCCAGAGCCCCAAGAGTCTAAGCCTTCTAAGCTGGCAGAATCGGCAGGACACGTGGTGAGCTTTTGAACAAAATGTCCGAGAAACTCTTTGCCGTAAAGTCTCTTGGCGGACGGCCCCTGGACAGCTGGCTGGACGTGAACGACGCTCGCTGGACGCGCATTCCAACGCTCGCTGGACGCGCATTCCAACGCTCGCTGGACGCGCATTCCAAAGCTTTTTGTTTTGTCACGGCTGCAGTGGCTGCAGTATTCTGGTGCTCAGGCAAGAGGGCAAGCAGCATTTTTGCTTGTCCGACAAACTGTCACCTTAGGTTTGTGGTGTTCTACTATCCGTTTTTGTACACGCAGCTTGGCAAGCGAAGCCCACTGCAAGTTGTTCTCCATCACTCAGACTCTACTCATTTTTGTACTCAGAATCTTGATCAAGCCTTATGTAAGCAACGATGACATCCAGACCTGTTTCCAGGCGGGAAGAAGGCATTCAACATGGAGTTTCATGACTCAAATCTTTGTTCCCCGACTAACTTGGCATGATTTGGGTCAATCACGAAAGGTAGCTTGAGCTCACTTTACTCCAGCAAAGTCATTTGGTTGTTTTGGGTCCTGCAACAAGAGGCCACATTAAGCCGCCATGCAACTCCCAACCTCAGTCAACAAACCAGACGGGACAGCTGCGAGTCCTCTGAGAGCGCGAACAACCAGAAACCAGAACACAGAGCTATTTCAGACGATGATCAATCAACCGAGGTCAGCCACCTACAGAACGATCGCCAACCAACGGTCGTCGGCCATCTGAGCAAGTCAGGCACATCAAGCAAGCGCTCAGACAACTACTGGGCGCCTCCGCAACCAAACAAAAGAACAAAAAGAATGCAAGCCACCAACAAGCTGCGAAACTAGCCACTGACCCGCAGAAAGAAGGAACCAGCCAGGCACTAACCAAAGGCCAGTCATGCATCATCAAGCAACCAACCTTGGAGACTGCAACCAAGACCACCAAGGAATGCAATCGAGACATTCTCCTGCAGCAAAAGCAACCGATGGTCTCAAGAAATGAAATAATGACCGTGAGCAACCAACCACCTCAAGCAACCAGATTGTCCCAGCCAGCTAATCAAGCAAACGCCAAGAAGATGACACCCTGAGGATTGCGGGCAAGGAACCAATGATGCAAGAAGGCAGGCGAAGAAACCAATCATCCAATAGGCAGAACAAGCCCAATTCATGTCACACAACAACCACACGAAACTGGACCAACCAACCAAGAGACCAGGGGGCACAGCGGGCAATGAAGACAACCGACAAAGCGACTGAGCCAGAAAGTGACCCAAGCTAAGCCCACGAAGTAAGCCCACGAAGAGAGCCGAAAACCGATCCAGCACTAAACCGCACAACCTGCTCGTACGAACTAGCCGACCCACCAAACCACCAACCTACTACCTAAAAGCCCCACTGCAGTCAAATCCAGCTGCTTGCATATGTTCCGTAGCTATTCGCCCCTATACTGGTTGGCAAGGGAATCGACGTTCAGACTGGCAAGCGGACTGACTGGGAAAGCAACTGACCAACAGGCTACCCAAGACAAGGAAGGGATTTCATTTGGTAATTTTTCCCAACCTGCTTCCGCCCCTCCTTCAAGTACATCTTGCAAGAGGATCTCTTGACCTTTGCTACTGTGAGCTGCGTGCCCGATGCTTGGATCCAAGTCGGTGTGGGCGGGACTCGTCCCACCATGATCTCGCGGGTGCTTGTGTTTTAGCACCAACCAGCAGCTACTTCATAAGCAATTCTACTGCAAGTAGCTGCAAGGGTTTTGCGCATAGTGCACTTTTCCAACCCAAAGGCAGCAGGACAGTTTTTATTTACTCGAGACTTTTGTAATTGTGCACGGGTGACAAGATTGAATTGGGAGCTCTCGGTCGCTAGGCGCTCAGCAGTGACTTGAAGCTATTCTTTTTCACGCAAATCTTCGTCGAGGCTCGCATAGTAGCGTGTTGATTCCCAATGACATCGCAGCATCCAGATGATACTGGTATATGCTCTAGCTGCGCTTTGCGTGGCTGCAAGCAGCGCTCAAGATTCTTGATCACAATGTGCTAGTGCAAATTAGTTGCAGCTTTACTGGGACTGAGTTTTGTGCGGCTCTAATTAATTGGGCTCTTCATTTGCTTGTAAGCATGTTTTCAGAAGACGGTTCCAATCAAGAGGCAAAATCGCATTCCTCACGTCAAGACGCCACCAAGTCAACACTCCTAAAAAGAAACAAAGCCTTTGTTGGCCGAAGCGGATCAAGACGCCACAAGAGAAAGCCAAGAGGCCCTGCACACGATGTCATTGCCATTGATGACTACTACTTATATAGATAGATTAGATAGTGGCAGCTTTGTAGCAGAGGATTGTGGAACCGTAAATGGTTGAAATGCTATATATATTACATATTATTACTTATAATGTATACTTGCAGATGCGGACGCACATGATTGGCCTTTCTTTCTTTCTTTCTTTCTTTCTCTTTATTTCTTTATCTTTTTCTTTCCTTCTTTCCTTCTTTAAATCTTTACTTCTTTACTTCCTTCCTTGCTTCCTTCCTTCCTTCCTTTTCCTTTTCCTTTTCCTTTTCCTTGCTTCCTTCCTTCCTCTTCCTCTTCCTCTTCTTTTTCCTTCTTCTCCTTCTCCTTCTCCTTCTCCTTCTTCTCCTTCTTCTCCTGCTTCTTCTTCTTCTTCGGCGGCCTCTTCAACATTTGCTCAACAATAGACAAGGTTCTTCAAAGGCTCAAGAGATTGGTTAACGTTACGCAACTGAGATCAAATTCGAGAACGCTGGTCAGGAGAGACATTATCGACCGATATCCACGCGCCGCCTGCAGCGACCCCTTTTGTGAGAAATCCTATCATCTACAAAGGAATTAATCATCCTCATTTTCTTAAAGGCCAACGTTACTTCACAGATTGTTTGCATCGCGATCAACAACCAGTTGCTACTATATATTTTCCCACAAAAGCACTTGCATAGCAAGAAAAGACACCCAAAATGAAGAGGTTGTGTTTATACAGTGCCAGTCATAGAGAGACTATGGAGATCTTCTATTGCCCAATACGATTCAAGACATTTTGCTCACAAACATCACAAACCGAGGACAGGAGGCTGCAGGCACGAAACAGTCTGAATTTTGACAAGACATCAACAGCCTACTAGCTAGCGTCCAGACTTGCAAGATCTTGCAAGTCCATTCGCTAACCAGCGTGTCGCCTAGCTTCCAAATCAGGACACTACAACCACTTTCTGCACAATTTTGCCCACCCAGTCCCAATGCAGATTTCATTTGCTCCAAAGCTGCTGATCCAAAGCTGCTGAAAAGGCACCAGGTTTACTTGGGCCACACCCGTGATAGTTTTCTTTTCGCCGCACGGTGCCACTTAGCTGCCCAAGTGTTGAGAAAATGAGTATCAACCAGCACCTTGCCATTGGTTAGAAGGGAAGCTTCTACAAGTTTCGCTCGAATGCCATCAACCAAATGGGCTTTTGCTATCATAGTCCTCGCGCACTTGACCTTCACACCATTGCTGTACGTACTGCATTGAACGTTGGCATAGAGAGTTAGGCACCTTGAAAGTGAACATTAATTCCGCTTGCCAGGTTCTTATGTTGTTCGCTCACCTGGGCCAGTCTTGGCTGAAGGTGATGGACCATGACCATAGTGCTGAATCACACTAAACTGCTGAATCTGAGCTCCAAGAACAGCCGTCCCGAGAGCTTTGCAAATGAGTTAATAGCAGTGCAGGTTGCCATGGAGGTTCACAAGACCAAGAGCAAGAACTCCAAGTCAGAGTATACCTACCTGGTGCCGAAGCCAATTCAAGTGCAAGTTGTAGCCTTTGCTTACAAAGATCCTGCAAGCTGGTTGGAAGCAGACCGATGAAATCAGGAGTATCAAGCCAAGTGCACAGAGTACTCGGATATCGATCCTCGGTTAGAAGAGGCTTTGCGATGACTTGCTGTGCAACCACATTTGCTCAGCTTTGCAGCTTTTCAACCAAATCTGAGGCTTTCATATGCGATGTGGAACTCCAGGTGATGAACTACGGATTTCTTGTTCTGCGCCTTGACCAAAACCTGCATTAAAAGGAACACATAGACATAAACGTACATGTTCAATGCTAAGACACATTGTGGGAGAGTCAAAGTGCTTTGCTTCGTCGTCCGAGGTTTGGTGTTTGCTTGCCGTACGTGCACCTTGGCTGCAGTTGTTCTATTGAAATTCACTGACAGGCTTCGCCAACCGGCGACGCCTTTGGAGGGTCCTGATATGATCAAGCCATATAAGCCCAGGTGGTGCTAGAAATGTCGGCCGCAGACCGACATTTTGAACATCACCAGGACGTATGTATTTACAGGAAAAAAAACGTCAACAACAGATAAAACATCTAAAAAAATGGCTAGTGCAAAGCTTTATCTCTAAAGAATAAGGTATGCTAAGAGGAGAAGAAGTTTTGAGGTAGCAGTTGTGTCCAGCACCATTGGCATCACCAGAGTACGAGCAGCATTTCTCATAAACTACATACATTTTGCAAAAAAACACTGTAATTTACAGTGTTTTCTGCCTAGTCATGCACCAAACAATTTGCATCTTTCCTGCCGAGACTTTGCTGATGCTAATGATGCTCGACCAAAACTTGTCCTCAAAGCTTGTATCCATTCTGGCACTTTCCTTGTGTTCTTGACGTTTTTTTGACGAATCCACATGAGCACTGGTGATGATAGAAATGTGGGTCGGCGGCATGGAGCACGTCTCCATCCGGCGACGTCGTCCCGGTGACCATATCAAGCATAGCTTGCTATCGGGGCAGCAGGCCCTGTCCCGGCAGAAGGCCCTTCGCCGCTAGGCGAATACCTTCAGGTATAACGGGCCCCCCCTCCGTCGCCGACCCACTCCTATCGTGTGTTTTTCCACTTTTTTTTTTGTCTTCGACCCCGTCTCCGAGGACTTGCGCATCCATGACCCACTGATGAAACTCCAGGTTGCATTCAAGACCCGCCCCTTGAGGGACGGCGGAGGGAAGCCATCCCTGGGGCGATTGGCGCCCTGGGCACGCCCAGTCACCAACCTTGCACGGCTGGGCACCAAGACCTTGGCCCTCACCAACCCCCTGGTTGACAAGGTGATGTAGTCCATCTCCTGTGGGGACAAACATCACCCTTCCCAGACACCACCCTACCGAAGCATGTCAAGGTGATTGCCTCTTGGAGGGCCCGACCAAAAGACTGCCATGTCTGCCAAATCCATCGAGAAGGCCGCACCCAGTGGGCCACACCCTGCTGTCCCATGACCAAGTCTGCAGCCGCTCTGGGCATGGAGGATGGCAGTTCAGACCTCCCAAGGTAGTCCGTATGCTGTCATCCCTCCTGAAAGAGCTCTTCACGATCCCCTTTGAGCAGTACTCACCCTTCCTGCCAAAGTGCCTCGGTCCAGGGCGACGCCTATATGTGGGGGGGATGGTGTAGTGAGGAGACCCATCCCACCAAGGGCACGGCACGGCCTACTGGTTCCACTACCAGATTACGCCCGACCAGCGTCCTTGGGCATTCAAGGACGGAAATCCCCAGAAGCGCATTGCAGCCCTGGAACTACTTGGCACCCTGCTGCTCTGCAAGCGCCTCATTTCACAACAGGGAGACACCCGTTGGCACTCCGGCAACATCTTCAGCCTCTTGAACCTTTCCTCCAAGAAGCCACGCACTGCGGCCCTTGTGATGGAACTGGTCTTCACCCTTCACCGTGAGGGCTGCAATTTGGCTCCGAGCCACATTCCCCGGGTATTTAATGCTTGGGCAGATGAACTTACACATCCCAACTTTGAGGGATTTGATCCGGATCGTCGGCTACCGGCTCCGCGTGATCTATTTTCTTTTTCCTTAGCACCCCGACTCTGTCGAACATTGGTTTTCCATAGTTTCCCGCCCAAGATCCCGTGGCCGGATCCGGTGGAAGTCCTCCTGACCCCGGGCCCCTTGTCTCCTGACAGGCGCCGCTGGCCCTGGATGGAGACCAGGGGCCCCCCCCTTCTCAGGTATAGTTTTTTCGGCGTTTTCGACTACAACGTCCTGATACTTGAAGACCCAGGTGGTGCTAGAAATGTCGGCCGCAAACCAATATTTTTAACGTCGCCAGGACGTGTGTATTTTACTTGGACATGACAAGCCGTCAAAAACACAACAATAATGATCAAAGATGGCTACTGTAAAGCTTTATCTCTAGAGAAGAAGGTACGCTAAGAGGAGAGGAAGTTTTGAGATAGCAGTTGTGTCGAGCACCATTGGCATCACCAGAGTACGAGCGGCATTGTTTATAAACTATATACTATATACATACATTTTGCAAAAAATCACAATAACTTACAGTGTCTTGCGCCTAGTCATACACCAAAGGTTTTGCATCTTTCCTGCTGAGACTCTGCTGATGCTGATGATGCTCGACCAAGATTTATCCTTTAAGCTTTATTTTCTAGAGGCTTGGAAATACTTTTTCATCAGCGGCCATTTTTGATCATTTTCTTTGTGTTTTTGCCGTTTCTTGACGAATCCACATGAGCCCTGGTGATGCTAGAAAAGAGTCGGCGGTGTGGGGTGCATCGCTGTGTAGCAAAGCTAAGCTTGCTAGGGACAACGGCATGGCTTCGCCGGATGGGCTAACGCCCGGGTGCCGCCGACCCCTGTTTTTGTGCTGTGTTGCTCTTGATTACTTCCATACATTCCACCCCTGCCCAAAGATTTTAATGCGTCCACAGTTTGTGAGTGTGTGCTTGTCTGTCGGCAACCTTCGCGCGACTAACGTCGCAGATGTCAGCGATAGAGGAACGCCCCGATCCAATCACGCTTCGGCTATGATTTGAATTGAAAAATTGTTGCGACATTAATTACAGTCTGCGTGACCAATGAGATAGCTTCGAAGCCCAGTAAAAGGACGTTGGCAAACCCACAGCCAGAGGCGTGGCAGGCAAGGCTTGCAAAGCCTACGGCCAGAGGCAAAGGTTGGCAAACCCACGTCCTTAGTCCATGTTGTTCTGCCAGACGGCAGCTTCGAAGCCCAGTGAAACAAACTTTGTGTGGGAGGCTCCCTTTGCCGCGCAAATGCGGCCGGAAAGGGTCCTCGGCTGGAATGGAGGGCAATCGCGCGTTTCGAAAACCAATGAAAGAGAGATGTGCTGAGCCTCCTCGAAGCCGTGAACCATCTTACGGCCAGAGCTACGGTGCCCTTGAGCAATGAAATTCTGCGCGGAACGGTGCAAGAGAGGTCAGGGCAACTACTTAGGCAATTGCAACCTTCGGTATCCCAGGCACCGCCCCGCCTAGGCTTTGGCTAGGCCGGGGTCGGCGGACACCTCAAATTGAGCATGTCCTGATTGCAAGCGGCCAGCTCTTCGGTCAGGTGTTTTATTTGTTTCTTCGTAAACTTTCCGCTTGTGCCTGAGCATTGCAGTTCTTTTGGCTGAGTCTCAGGTTCCGAGCTACTGAGGTTTAAGCGGATGTTGGCGTGGCGCTCTCAGAGGACTGAGGACTCAGGACTTGTTAAACAAAATACAGTCAGTCAGACCAAGGTACAAACTCTCGTACATCCACCAGAGGCCAAGCCCTTTTGGCGCTGAAGGAATTGGTGCTGGGGAGGACGGTCAGGCTCACTTCAATACAAAAACAACAACACTTGAAAAACGCGTTTGTGCCGGCCACAGAGGCACTTGCAAGTAACAAATCTGCATGCGATATCATGCGATATATTTGCACGTTCTGAGCTTGTGAAGGGGAAGAACTGGAGGCTATGCTGCCCAAACTTTCAGATGCTGAATGACAGGACATGGTGCGAGTGTTGTCTTGGTTGGGCGTCGTGTTCAACACCTATTTGGCTCCAAACCTTAGATGGAAAAGTGCAAGGACCAAATACACCCAAATGGGTTTTGTTCTGTTTGTTTCTGTCTATTTGCACACCTGAGGTCATATTTGTTTCACCCTTATGTCAAAACTTAAGCAGCTTGGCACGATAATGATGATTAGCGTTTGGCATGTAATGTTCCCGGCTACAGCTGCACCAGAGTCTGTGGTTGAAAATGCAGTCCTGCAATTGTGGGATTTTATGGAACCAAGTGGTTCTGTTGAGTTTAGTTGTATGTGAAAGGAATCGGGGCCTTTTTTCTTCCCAATTCCTGAGGCTTTGAAGTGCGAATGCTTGTGTTTGTTGCTGCGTCAACCTTAAGTTGAGTCTGCAGGCTTATGGCGTGCTGAGTGCTGGTTTCTGGGCCTCTGTTCGCTTTTGGTCCGATGCCCTCAGGTCGAGCATGCCTTGCTCATATTGAAAGTCATCATCGATGCTGCCCGGGGCCTTATTCAATACATTTGCTTCGCTTCGCGACCGAGATTGCCAGCACCAGCCTTTTTTCCCATGAGATTTGTTGCTGGAACTGCTACAGGCCAAGGGCATCCCACGATTCCACAAATACACCCATCCAGGAAAGTAAAGACCATCTATATTTCTAATCTAATCATAATCTAATACAAGACCCCACACTACACTACACTGCACTACACTACACTACACTACACTACACTACAATACAATCTGAACACACATCATATATATATATATATATCTATAGACTTGCGGTAGCCACCCACTGGTCACCCATCCATTGCCACAACCACCGACTGCACCCAGGCAGTCAGCAATATATCATCACACAGCACCCCTAGAGGCACTTGATTGGAACTGCCAAAGACACTTGTGATGCAAGACATGCCATGACATTTCTTGCATCATGAACACACAATTATACACCAGGCCTATGTTGAGTCCATCGCAGATGGTTGTGCTTTTTGAACAATTACAGGATCGTGGAGCAAAATAAAGCCGGGCTGAAGCTGTTAGCGCTTGCTAAGCAATGCCGATGTGTAGCACATGCCTACATTAAATGCCTCAGCTCTTTCGGTACCATCGGATTTGAGCTGTTCCAAGCGTTTGAGTTGCTCACATCTCTACGTACTTAGAAAACAAAGGACGAGTCTCCCACACAGTAGTCAGGAGTCACTTCCCTATTGAGCCAGCCAATTTGTACATCCTGTGATTTTGTTCTACCATGCAAACGACCTAACCAGCATACACATCCGCTTGGGGAAAACTAACACCATCTTAGACCTGGACATGCTGTCGTCTTGTGGTGTTATGTGTACATGGTTTGCTCTAAGTTTTCCGGCTTGAGGGATGAAGCTGAAAGGACACCTACTGAGGCGCTGGGTCCAAAGAGTACGGCACAGCGGCGCATTGAAGAGCCTGGATCACAGCGGCAACGTTGAGAACTGCCGGATTGCATCTCTGCATCTCTCCATGCCGCAAAGGCACCAAGACAGGGTCATCGAAAGGATTCTGCAGCTTGGACTGCACAAATGACACAGTGCTTTCCTTACTTGCCTTGTTCTTTCTGTGAGAATCTTGGAGGCAAGAGAATAACAAGACCAAGCGAACAGGGCATTTGCAGGCCGGCATCCACTCAGATTGGCAAATTCAGGGCAACCGCCCACCAACATGCACCGCTCCTTCTTTACTGGATTGGCTGCAACTTTGATTGAATTGTGTGTCCGACCAGAGAGGAATGTCATTTTCCCGCTTGTGGAACCCCTGTTTGGAGAAGCATAGTTTTGGTGCTCTGAGGGTTTTTATCCGTCCGGGTTTTCAGACTGCAGTGTCCGAAAGAGGACTCCAATTTTCGAGCAAACACCACGAGCCGAGCAGTGTCCCAGTCATCATCTCGATGTTTTACACTCTTCTCCTGTGATTGCTTGCACATTGCCAGGTAAAGTCGCTCTCGCAAGAAACTACCTTCGCAGGTGCGGTCAGATCCCAACCAAGGGCCTTTGAGTGGGGTTTCGAGTCTTGTCTTTGATCCTACACGTGCGCAATGGAGTCAGCATGATAGCTGTATATTTTCCTACTGTGCAGTAGTTATATTATGGGTGCATTTTGACAGGAGGTTGATTGTTTTGTCTTTTAAAGAAAGCATTGCTTTTTGCGAATTGAAGAGAACGTGTGACTACTGTAACTTCGCTCCGCCACAGGAGATTCGTCGATAGGGTCCTCTTGTTACGGCCGCTTGAGTTGCGGCTCAGAGCCATAAGCAGTTGGCACGCGCTTGTACATTGTAGATGGCTTACATGGCCATATGTGGCTTGTTTGTTTCACTGGAGCAAGGCTAACTGCTCCAAAGCAAGCTTTTTGCAAAAGGTCCTTCCTCCGAAGCAGAACCACTACAATCACAAGCTTTGATGGTCTAGTATGATAATAAGTAATAACTTAAGCAGTCTGGACATTGCTCAGGGCTCAGGTAGGTTGGGACATTTCTCAGATGTTTTGCCTAAGAACAACACTGTTTGCAACCGTGAATTTCTGCTCGAGCCGTGGCCCTTGGCCGTACCACTTAGTGGTCACAGGCTGGGTCCGAGAAAGACCGTTCTTGTTTATTCGATTTTTCGAGGCGGTTCTATGGTTCGCTACTAGTAACAAGTGCATCGCTACTAGGAACAAGTGCATCGCT